CGGTAAAGTTAAACTGTAGAAGCATCGAAGTAGTAATCTTTGCCTTTTTAGAGGCTAAGAAATCACATACGAGAGAGGAAGAGGTTTTTAAAAGTCGAAACTTCCAGCTGTAGAATTTTATTAAATCATATTATGAAGGCGTAATGTTGACTCAAATTTATGACAATTTTTTGATATGACACTCGACTGTCAACGTAATGCATTAGATTCTTACTGGTTGAAAATTCATCACCCTACCATTTTCCTTTCTTTTTACTGGGTGTTCCAGTTGAAAAATACGGTTTTGAAATTTTGGAAGTATCACTAATAGTAGTGTTGTTTCTACATTGTGAGATTGATAGCTTCAAGTTAGACCTTCTCTCTTTTCCAAGGCTAGTAAAATAGGCAAGTTTTAGGCATAAACTGGCAAGGAATCGAACCAAAAATAACTGCTTGATTAGAGAACATCCCACCTCTGAATTACTGACGCATCATCATTTCTTTCAAGGAGGCTCCACACTAGATTAACGTTCATATGTTGTAACATGAAATGAAAATTCGTAAGTTAACTCACAACTTTAAAAGTGATTTATTTTAACAGTGAGTAATGAGACAAAAATTATAATTGCAATTTTCTATAGTTTGGTTTGTAAGGGTTAGTTATGTTTTTTACGAGTTGATCACGGACTGATATCAGTTAGAGAACCATTGAAAACCAGCAAGGAGTACTGAACAGCTGCTGTTTCATCGTAGTTTGAGAATCATCGGCAGTACACACCCGCTGGGATTTGAACCTAGGACCTCCCGGTTACAAGGCAAGCTCGTATACCATTCAGCCACTAGGACTCGATTCAATGGCTCATGAATTCTAACCTCTATGGTTGGGGTCGCGCTAAATCACGAATTGGTAGAAGTTATAATTCATGAGCTATTGAACGTGTTCCCAGTGGCTGAATGGTATAACTGCAATATTAAAAACAAGTCTAACACTTCAGTAATAATTGCGTAACTGAATGTAATAAACTACAATAAGTAGAACTTCGAGGACCAAAAACCAGGCTCAGTATAAAAAAGTGGAAAAAACAAAGTGATTTAATCAGAACATGAATAGTCATCTTTGACATAGTCATGAGAGTAACTGAAGTATAACGACAGATTCTTTTCGAACACCTAGGTTAGTTTTCAGTCATTTTATTACGCTATCCTTGGCAAACCAAACAAGATTTGGGTTGTTTTGTCAGTTATTTATCCTGTGTCTATCAGATGTTTGGTGAATAACTAATTCAAACTATTCGATCCCCCCATTCGAAGGCATTTTAGAAAACGTTCCTGGAATCCTATGTAGATCCTCCATTCTGTTCTGCTGCAGGTACTCATGAACTGATATACACAGATGGTGGTAAGATTATAGTGTACGCTCATCCATTTTCCACTATACCAACAAGCAGAATGTTCGGAACTGACAAAGACTTGTTTCGCTTTAAGATACGCTGTTTATCATCGATGTACGTGATTGTTTATTTGTTATTCTGATAATATCCTCACTTTGGAAATCAACATGAATAAAAGTCAGCTTTTTGATGACTGGAATCACCTCTGGCTTATTACTCTGTTTCTTGCCATTTTCATTGATAAAGCTTGGTGGGTAACCTTTTTTCAGGCTTTGCTCAAACAACATTGATTCACCGTCTAAATTATCAGCTAAGCATACTATTTCCATCCTAACGGAATAGTGCCTTCTTCAGAGTCCTCGCAGTAAGTTGATCTTCCGAATGTTCTATCAAGTTTAACACCTGGTGCACTATCACAATAAATGTGATGATTTTTCAATCGTAAGCGTAGCTCTTCAGTATATACATACAACTAGTTTATTCCAAATTTTATAGAATAATTGACAGAAATTCGTCGAAACAGTTTCTTTATATTGATGTAATGTTTTTCTATCAAGTTTGGTCAGTCATTTGAAGCTTACCTTCACTAAGGAAAACACAGAAAAAAGAATAACTGTTTATCATAATAAAGAAACTTCTACTAGTTAAGTAGCACTTCATTATCGAACAAAACACTTAGATGTTACAGATTTCTAAGTTTTGTATTATACTGTGAAGTTTAAATTTCTTCCTCTGTTGTTGTTGTTGTTGTTGTTTTTTAATGTGATTACCACACTGTGATAAAGTTTATATTTTTCATGCTTCTTATTTTGTGTCAGTGTTTCATTGTTCCTTCTGTTGTATTATATTCGGTTATTTATAATACATATTAGAGTTATGGCTTAAATGGTGGCTTGCTTTGAACGAGAAAAATAAAAGAACAGCGTTATAAGATGCGAATAACAAAAATGTTGTGATAAACAAACATTTTTTCACATAGACTGTCTTTATTCCAGTTAACAATTTCACTGGAATTGACAGTTCTTCCACAGATCCCACTAAAAAATAGTAATCTGCAACTCTTTGCTTTTCGATCAAACCCCGGACCATTTGCATGGTCGGCAAGCGTCCTAACCGCTATGCCACCGACGCATACCCTGATTGTCACCTAATATTAGTTCTGACCTTTTTTAAATTTCAAACCCTTTCTTCCAAAATTAGGTTGATTACTATGTATTTGTTATTGTTGTTTATTTCCTTCACGTTCCCCAGTGGAACATAGGGCTTCAAGCTAGTGGCTTGAAGTTTCTGTAGCAGTGTTTATTTTACAGGATGGGGTTGCTAGCCTCATGCCCAATCCTTCCTCTCCACCAGCATTATTTCTGGTTTAGCCAGGTAAAGGAATGCGTCGGTCGGGGATCGAACCCTGGCCCATGTGCATGGTTGGCGAGCGTCCTAACTGCTATGCTACCGACGCACGATTACTATGTAACATGCCTTCATCTTTACAAACCACTTCTAACTAACTGTAACAAATTCGGCACACTTTACTATCACTCAATAATTGACTGCTACACGTGTTGATGATTATGAATACAATTGTATAAGCTTTGGAAATGATCCAACAGACATAAAAATGTTTCTTCAGCGAATCGTCCTTTATTTTCTAAAAAAATTACTGACTCTAAAATGCCTCATGCGAAATAGAGTCTGTTGTGAGAAATAGCATTTTTGAACTGGCTTATTTGTGTACAGAATTCGGTTTCAACAGATACAAAAGCTGATATTGCAATTATTTATTTTCGATACTTTTTATTTCCCTTACTAAATAAAACACTATACGAAAGTGTTCGAAGGATTACATAATCTCATCATTAACATTCCAGAAATATTTTTAAATATAACCTTTTTCTAACCATGCATTATAAATTCACTCGTTGAATAATGCTCTTCAGTCATATACCCATATTCAGCTTTAAAAGCATCCCATTAAGTAATATGATAAAGACAATTCGATATTTTAGTATCTTTGTGTTATATCTACTTGTTGCAGTAAATTTAAAAAGTAAATGATGCAATTCAAGTTTATTTTTACCAGAAGAAATCGTTCACCACTAGATATATATATATAATGCCTTTCTTTAATTGCTTGGCTTTCGTATATCTTCTTTTGAGTAATCCTATTGCCAATGTAAGTGAAATTATATATTTCTCTATGCTTCACAGAAGAAAAAAACAAGGGAACTAGGTTCATGGCTTTTTACTGGTTAATTGCCAGTCTTGAATGAAATGTTCTCTTTATATTTAATAAGGAACTGTACAGAAAAACTGATTGTTTGGCAGTGGAGCCACCACCTTGATACATTCTAGACTACATTTTCCTAGTGAAACTAGATGTGACTGATGAACTAGAATTCTCCCATCGCTACATGGATGATACATTTTTGATTATGAAAAAATGAGGATGAAGCAAAGAACATTCTTGACAAATTGAATGATGTTCAACCCGTAATAAATTTTGCCATTGAGAAAGAAAGAGAGATAAGTAATTTAATTCACGGAAAATTCCCATCATAACGTATAGAAAATCAAAACAAGTGTTTCAGCGAAGAGACTCTTTTCAACGAATATATTATCAAGTTGTACAATCGAGTACGTATGGCTTTTAAAAATTATTTCCCATATTTCATTCCTAGACATTCATATGACTAGAAAAGAGGACAGTACAATAAGAACAAGTGTATATACAAAAAACCTACATCGAATCGTCATTAAACTCATTTTTTTCAGCTTCGTACCTTTGAAATACAAACGCAATCTGATAAAGTGCTCCGACAACAGAGCAGCAGCATTCTGCCATGATGAATGTCTTATTGAAGACATTAATTTTAAAAAGACGGTTGCAGCGAAGAAAATTTTCTCTTCGACGAAGTCATCAACTAGGCTATACATTCGTGTATTTATGATAAATGGGTGGGAAAGTTCCAGAATAATTTCCGGTCAAAGGTCAAATCAATAAAATTACAATTAGGAATTAAAATGACATAATAAACAGGAGGACGGATAAAACTCAAACAAAGTAGTATCATAATTACTGAGAAGATTGACATATTGTGCAATCGGGGGTTAGAAATGTAGAAATAACAAAAATAGACGGGATGTTTGGATGAAAAAATCTAGTGGGATCATAACTAATGTGACGATTAATTGTTTATGCAATCAGGGATTAAATATGTAGAAATAATAAAATGACAAAATAGACAGGAAGTTCGGATATGAAAATATGGAAGTGTAAATAGGGATTAAGAAATCTTAAAATAACATGAATAAACAGGAAGTTTGGATAAGAAAGGCAATGGGATGGTCATAACTAAAAGAATTACCTGTTTATGATGGCCATGGCAGGGACAAGGGCTGGACATATTTCTTTTGGATACATAGCGTGGATTTGAGCTTTTAGGTAGCTAGTGCCTCGGCTATGTCCGGATGTCTTAATTTTACTCCCTTTGATAGATTTGATCGAATCTTGTATATAATTAATTCTATCCATCATTACCTACTATCACAAGCAAATTTGTCTCATGTATGCAGTAAAAAGAACATTCAATGCTGCTGAAGTATGCTTATTCTTCAAAACCAACCCTATAAGGCGGCCTGTTTGACATCTGGGCTACCTTTCTGTACATCTACATATTTGCATCTAATACATCATGTTTCCATTTTTAATTTTAACAAAATATGGTCACAAATCGTATCAAATACAGTAATGAATTCATTAAATGTTTTAAACCATATGATTTTCATGCATCTAATAAAACTAAGAGAAAACATCATGGTGGTTGGCAACGTGCTCTCAAACGGACACCTTTATATCGCACAACTATTCCTGTTATTGTCAGTTCAAACTGCCGTTCACTTCCCAACAAAATTATGCATCTCCAGTCTCTCTTATCATCTGACACTTATCACAATACTGCGATAGTCACATTACAAGAAACTTGGCTCCATGATCTTTATGACGACAACCTGGTTTCTCTAAATGGTTTCACATTGTTTAGACAAGATCGAATATGCTCTAGAAAGAAAAGAGGTGGAGGAGTCGCAACCTTCATTCATTCTCAGTGGTCAACTTCAAATAATGTATGTTTTTCTTTCTCTAGTGACTTTATTGATTGTATTACAGTCAAATGTCGTCCTAAACACTTATCCAAGTTTAAATACGTCTTCATCTCAAACATTTATGTTACTCCTGGATGTTCCGCCTCGGATATATCTCATTTTGCCGATGAATTCACAGCATTCGCGGTTACACATCTTGAAAACTCTTTATCAGTTGTCACTGGAGATTTCAATACCTGTGACTGTTCTTTTCTTGAATCATTAGGTCATGTCAACATTGTCAAATTTCCAACTCGACTTGATAAAACTCTGGATCTAGTATTTACTAATGATGCGGAAATATATGAAGCACGCAGACGTGCTCCTATAATGAACTCTGATCATTGTATTATTCGGATATTACCCAAGATATATAGCAGATATCACTCTAATATCCTCTCGAATCTCTCCAGGAAAACACAACAAAGATGTTACTCACAAGAAAACGTGCTCAAACTAAGACTTATGTTAAATGACACAAACTGGGAACTTTTCACTGAACACACTCTGGATGATACTATTTCCAATCTGACTGACTATCTTAAATTCTGCCTTGATGTATGCTGTCCTAAACAGATACTTTTCAAAAGAATAGATCGTTTCTCTTCTCCTCATCTCAAAAAGCTTCGGAGAGAAAAAGAGAGACTGTACAAGGCTAAAGATAAAGCTGGTCTTAGGAGAATAAACATGCAAATCAAATCCGAAATCAAGAGGTTAAACAATATTTATAATCAAAGAATTTTGTCATGTAAAACTCCTGGGAACATGTGGAAGCTTTTCAAAGAAATTACAGGTTGTGGTAAGCATAGTTCTTGTTCTCCCTCTATTGACGTAAATACTCTTAATAGATCTTTTATCCGCCTTCCCAATGTACCTTCTAGCTTCAATGTAACAAATAACATGACCAGTGACTTTAATAGCTTTAAAACTTCTGATGTTCTTAAATGTTTAAAATCTCTTAAACCTTCCCAGAGTCTAGGTCCTGATGGTATACCTGCCATTGTCCTAAAGAAATGTGCTGATATTTTAAGCAACCCACTTACAAACATTTGTAATACTTCTTTTTCTAATAATGTTGTACCTTCTCTGTGGAAAGATATTAAAATCATCCCTGTACCTAAGTCAGGCTCTGGTAATAATGCTAAGTTCAGACCTATTGCTATAACCTCTCCTTTTTTGAAACTAATGGAGAAACTATTGTTACTAAAACTTGTTCCCTCCTTAAGCTTCTCAAACGATCCAAAGCAGTTTGCTTACAAACAGGGTAAAAGTACTTTGGACGCTGCCGCTGTGTTTCATCACAACATTGTATCCTCCTTAGACAAAGGGGCCAAGTTTGTCCGTTGTACGTTCCTTGACTATACATCTGCTTTCGACTCTGTACCTAGAGGCCTATTGTTAAACAAGCTTAGCCTAGCACAAACTGAGCCCTGGGTTATCAACTGGCTGCACTCTTACTTCTCTAATAGGATGCAGTACACGGTATATAATGGTGCATCTTCCTCTCCATTGCTTACTGAAGCTGGAGTTCCCCAGGGTGCTGTTCTTTCTCCGTTTCTCTTTTCCTTCTTCTTACATGATTTACCTCTCTCAGATGAAGTCAACTTCGTCAAATATGCAGATGACCTGTCTGTATCGTTTTCCATTAAGTCTCAGTCAGACTGTCTCAAATTAAATAGCTTCCTGTCGGACATCAGTGAGTGGTCCAAACTAAATGGACTCATGTTGAATCCCTCAAAATGCCAGACTGTCGACTTCTCCCTTAGGCATAAACGGGATCTACAAACACTAGTAAGTTCTCATGAAGACTGTTGCATTGAGGGGACAAAAATTGAAACTAAGTCTAATGCAAAATACCTCGGTCTAGTTATATCTTCTGACCTTACTTGGACATCTCATATCCTAATGATTTCTAGGAAAGTGTTCTGTCTTACCTACTACATTAGGAAACTTAGACAATCCGGAATCACCCAACCTCTACTTTCACAATTTGTCAACTCTTGTATCCTACCTATTTTACTTTACTGCTCCCCGTTAGTCTTTCCTGGTCTACTGAAAAAGGACTATTCCATCCTGAGAAGGATGTTGACAGTAGTTAGTAGGACTAGTGGTGTTAATCTCAGCCAGCTCGTGACTACCTTAGTTGATAGGCATCTGAATACATGTGAAAAATGGTCTAAAACCATACTCTCAAACCCCCAACACCCCCTCTATTCCCAACTCTCGCCTTGTATCTCATCAAGTAAAACCAGAAATCAGTATAAAAGAATCTATGCTCGTACAACCAAGTACAGGAACTCAACGATACCATACTTGGCCCGTGTTCTAAGCGACAGAGACAATGTTAAGCGTGAAACCTGTGACTTGCTTTGTTATTAACAACATAAATTCATACTCTTTTATTTCTCTCTTATTTCGTATTCTTTAGTGAACTCCTTCTTCAAACTTACTTAGCTACCTGAAATATTAACATTGGCTTCCTTTTTTGTACTTTACTATATTCCTTCTATTGTGTATCCACTGGTTCCGACTATATCAGCACTATGAGTATTACAAAATTGTCGTGTCATTAACCATCATGTAATTATTAGTTTTGTGGTTGTTTCTCTTATTTTCTATACTTTTCGGCAATATTAAACTGACAATCATTGTTTGTGAAGGCCATAGTCACCACCTCAAAAAGAAATTTTGTATTATTCAGGATTACTCACACTACCACCACAAACACTGCACTAGACCTTGGTAGACTTTGGTACTTTTTTGCATTCATAATTATTTTGTGTTTATCCTGTTTTTTTTTTTTTTTTTTTGCTGTTGGTGTCTTCAGATTTATTTTTTATTTGTTTAATACTTATTTTAAATGTCGGTAAAATTAGATGCAAATATTGTAGATATGTGCTGAAAATTCCACACTGTACCACTAGTACTGTTTCTGGAATAAAGCAAATTATTATTATTATTATTATTATTATTCGACATTTAAAGATAAACTACATAATTTTGCCTCTCCTTGGTGTATCTATGAATTTGACTTTTCCTGTAGGCCTAGTTTCATTGGACGTGCAATTAGTTTTGTTTATCACCGGATTTCCGAACACCATCCTGAATGATTAATTAAGGGACGAACAAAGTTTATTCATAGTTCCATACTGCCTCACCTCGTAGATACAGAACACAAAATTGATGTAAACAACCCCTTCAAAGTTATCTACCAAGTACAAACTAATCTTTCTTTTACCTCAACAGTTCGTCCATTGCACATTGCTGAGGCTGTTGGAATCTACATTAACAAGTCTAATCTATGTATCCAAAAGAAATTGGTTTAAACGCTCTCCTTACCTTGACCATCAAGGTTTTAATGATCCTTAACCTGTTGTAGAGATTTCCTTAATTTCATGTGATATTCTATTTACTATCACATTTTTATGCTTATTATAACTTAGACATCTTTCTTGAACTGTAATTCCATTGATCTTACTTAACAAATCGATAGTATTTAAAAATACTGAAACATTGTTAACGACTATCATTCTAGAATATCCTATATATACATATATATATGTAATTGTAGAGCCGGAAGAGGAAATTATCAAAAAGAATATTCTTTGCTCAAATTTTCTTTTGGTCTTTTAAATGTTTGAATGAATATTTTCTCTATATTTCAAATAGTTGTTCATGTTCATAAAACGGGCTGTCTAGGTTGTAACACGGGGAATAGTAAAGGAAACTATAAAATGTTTTATTTTTAAATTAAACAGCTAGAAGAATAAAAAAAGTTTAAAAAAGTAATTAAGTTCTTCATTTTTTTGTAAATCATTTGTTTAAAAAAATAAAAATCACATAAGATTGCGATTTAACACTTTTTTAATTACAATGTGATCAAGCATATCTCACCATCTTATCAAAACATAAATAGAAGAATGAAAATTCAGTTTCCAAAGCCTATAATCACTTACCACTTCTGTATGTAAAGCAAAAGAAACGTTAAACTAAGGATTATTCAAGCAAATTTAGAAGTCGATATGTGAAGAGGATCTAATACTCTATTAAAAGTTTAATACATTTACAAGACCTTATTTAAATGTTGTTTTTCCCAACTTTTTGTGATCTGAATGTAACATGAGCCATCAAGCAACCTAAAACCACTGATAGTGGTGTTGTTTTGCTGGTGCTAGTTTCATGCTCAACTATTTCATCTATCCCTGACTTACTATCGCTTAATAAACCAGGTGTAGTTTTGGAGGGTATCAAAAGCGAATTTAACTGGGAATTCAAGCGTGTTCAATGAACATAGAGACAGTTTCAACGGGATATATGAAAAATGTGAAGAAGATTTAGAAATGTCGGAGGAGATTTGCAGTTAAGACTGATGTTTTCGCTCTACTTGTGTTCCATGAAGCTCGAAGACCACAGTATCTCCAAGAAGTAGACTATGTAAGTCACAGTATTCTCACCTGCTTTAGCAAGATGCAATAACGCCAGAAGTAATAAGATGACTCAGGAAATTTGGTCAATTTACTTTTCATAGAATGAATTCATTCAGCTACTCAAAAAGTTGTGGGATTTTATGAGGTAAAATGAATAGTATTCAGTTCGAAGTAGAATATAGTAGTGATTGAAAGCAAATATGAGAACACTTCTGAGAGAAAAGTTATCACCTAATTGCTCACCACTGTTTCGTGTTGATAGTTTAGTAAGCTAGTTTACCTGCTCTGAGTTCTGGTATTCTATGGAATCATTTTAATGCCCATACATTTTGGTTAAAACTGTATGCTACAATCATTGTCTACTATGCTTACAATAAAATAGAATGCATAATGCATTTTAAAGCACGAGATAGTGTTTTATATTAAAACTTAAAAAAAGATAAATTAAGCGAAATGTGCAAGCAATAGGATATGATGTTTGAAATAGGTCTCAGTGTATCCATAACAAGAGACTATTCATCAGTAAATACAGTCGCTAAGTGAAAATGGTTATCCTGAAAAGTTTATTGATAAGAATATGAATCTAAAACCAAAGCAGCCCAAGTTACCAACAGTTCTGAAAAAGGCCTGATTCATACAAATGCAGTTCCTTGGGGACAACACCAGTGAGATACTAACACAGCGCCTTAGAAATGCGGTAAAAAGAGCACTCCCTGCTGCCGAATTACGCTGCATCTTTAAAACCACTCCTCTTTTGCGTTCCGCAGTAAAAGACAAACTGCCTAATTTCGCCTCTTCCATGTGCATCTACGAATTTAACTGCTCCTCTGGAATGAGCCAGTTACATAGGCCGTACAATTAGGAGTGTTTGTCGTCGAATTTCCGAACATCACCCTGCATGGTGGGTAAGCAAAGGACAAAAAAATCTATTCGCAGAGCTATTCTGTCTCATCTTGTGGATACAGAACACAAAACTGATGTTAACCATGCTTTCAGGGTCATTTACGACATACCTACGAATCTTAATTTCGCCTTAAGAGTTCGACTACTAAATATTACTGAGGCTGTGGGGATCCATATTAACAAGCCTAATTTGTACATCCAAAAGAAGTTAGTTCAGACATTATCATTACCTTGGCCATCTAGGTTTGAATGATCCTGAATTTTTGTGGAAGTTTCCTAATTTTAGTTGACATTCTATTCCCTACTATACCTTTATTATTATTATTATAATTTAAGCATCTTTAATGAAGTATAATTTTATTGATCTTACTTTACAAATCGATATTATTTAATAAACACTAATATTGTTATTGACTACTAATCTAGAATATTCTATGCATATAAACATATATATATATATATATAACTGTAGAGCCGGAAGAGGAATTTATCGAAAGGAGTATTCTTTGCTCGATTATTTTGTGTTTAATACAGCAGATGTCACTTATCTCAGCTATAAAATTCACACTTTTCCGCCCCTACTGCTAACAGCAATAAACTGGACAAATATCGAGAGTAACGTTAAATCCTTTGAGGAGAAGAACTACTTTATCTAATAATTTTAGAGTCAGATAAAAAAGCTAACTTTTTAGGTGTTATGAATGAGATAATAGTAGTGAGAGCCACAGGCAACCCAAGGAAGAGATGAGTATGTAATTATAGAAGTAAAAGTTCTACGTAAAATCGGAACTTTCAATGTCCTGTGGTCAGTATTTGACGACCTGTTGTATGATTGCTACCGAGTAGTTTCTAAAACAAATGGAATATTAAATTTTAATTCACACCTGAAATTTTCAAAAACATATTTACATTCATTTGTTGACGGATTAAACATAGTCACTTGTGAAAATACTTGGAGAATGAAAATACTCTTGATTTCTTGCCTTTACTGACAACACAATACAATACACGAGTTTTTGGAGAAACAAATCCATTTCGGTAGATGATGTTATACAAATCAGATTTAAGTGGACGGGGGATTTAAGAAGATGAACAGGTGCAGATGTTCACGTCTTTCACTTCCTAGTACTGAGAAAGCCAACAAGTTGGCAGCAGATGCAGTGAAGACTAGATTTTAAGGGTTGCGGTGAAGACAACCGACGACATTACTGTAACGAATTTGAAAGAAATGGTCTCCTTCACTAACTTGGCTAGAGGGCAATGCTCCAACTACAATCAAACCCGATGGAGATGTCAAAATCAGTCATGATCGGTAAAGCAAAACAAGCTTTCATTGATCTGAAATCATTGTTAAGATTCACTGCAATTAGAACAAGGAAAGAAGCACAAATTTCATACATTTATTCCCCTTAATGAATTTGGACAAAGCAAGAACTACAGTTTTAGCAGAATAAAATGGTACCATCTTTTATTTCGTTGCCTTCTCGCCAGCTGCTTAGAGGGCAAAGACATTATTAAATCTATCTACAAAAACAATTTAACGTACTTGCACAGAGTTCATTTTAAACAGAAATCAATTGATCAATATACACATACACTAATAATATATACATATATATGTAATATTAAACACTATTTCGAACAATAATGATCATACAAAATGAAAACTTTTCAGCATTTCGCATTCGGATGAATGAGAGATAAAAAATATCCAGTTACAAGGGCAAAGAAAGACTGATAACTGTTTCTTTCTGGACGCATAAGTCAGGTTTCAGGCGCTTGATGGAAATGGTTTCAGCAAACTTGAGGAGAATTGAGCTCTTTTGCCAACTGATAATTTTGAACGACTTTTCGACTTCCACCTCATGACCCGTGCCGAGGAGATGCCTGGCGATGGCACTGTTTTAAGTATTTGTTCCCTTTGGACGTAAGATTCGGGGCATATCTACGATTTTCTGAACATGCACCAAAAAGCTTACATCTAAAAGGAACAAATGCTTTAAACAGTTCCATCGCCAGGCATCAGATAACCATCTGGATAGGATAAACAATAGGGAAATCTGAAACGCTGTGAAAAAATAACAGCCTACCTTCAAAAATTATAGAGAAGGAAATGTAGTTCAATTCTAGACACACTGCGGGGATCCCCAAGTGTCGCTAAACGCCAGAAACACCTTCGAATGCTCTAGGCACTTGAGCGTGACTTGCTGGAGATTATTCGAGAATGAAACAAATGCTTGTGAACAGTCCTGGTGGGAGCTGAAAGTGACGGTTAACAACCTAGAGCCACAGATATATGTTAGAGAAGTCATTTTTTCCACTTAGAACACAAGAAAAGAATAATAAATATTATGGAAATTCTGCTAAGCTTAAAAGTAAAACTACATACTACTGATTGACTCAGATGAGTAGTTTCATGTTACTTATATCAAACCGGAGTGCTCTCTCGACAAATTGAGGTGACCTTAACACCGGACGGCCGCTTTTATAGTTCGGAGTTGAACTCATTAGCAGTGTGCCAGGTTTGGCTCAGCTTAGACAGCCAAATCAGTTCGAACTAACCAATACCTCGCTAGCTACTTGGGCAAACTGGTCAAACCATAAAATAAATTCGCAGTCCATACAGTTCGAGTCGTGAAATTT